TAAGTTAAATGAAGTTTAAGTGAACATCAAAAAAATACACAGAGTCTTGAGATATTCTAGACCAACTTTCAGCTTTCAATAAAAATATTCTAGTACTCTTGAAATCACTATTAAAAATGACCATTATTTAACCTAGGTTGCACTGAGAGGTCTCTTTTTTTCTCTCACTCTATAGCCAATTAACTATACTGGATGTTTATAGAAAGCAATATACAAAGCAATATATACAAAGAAGAAGTGGATGTTTATACAAAGCAGTCTGAAATAGGATGCTGAATGGTAGGCATTTCTATATCAGAGCAACATACAATAATTTAGTTTGGACCATGGGAAGTCATCTTATCCAACCCCCTGCTCAGAGCAGATATACTTAGATATACAATAACATGACACATCAAATACTGCAATTAAATACTTTTCTATTATTCTATGCTGCAGGGCATTCAGAAAGAGCTCTTGTGTACTGCAGTCACAAAAGTAACTACAGACGGTGTATTTCTTAATCACAAGTAATTTATGTTCAGTAATCAGGATTTTCAGACTAGAATCAGCACATGTAAAGCAAGTCCATATATTGCAATGCTGCAAAAAACTCACTAGAAGAGGAAACAAGATAAAATGAAGGTATATCCCCTCTAAAATTAAGAAAAAGAATGAAAAAGTATTTGGGACAAAAGTATGCGCCTTGAGGCAAACTTATTTATAGCAATTTGGGATTTCAGAGACCCCTTCAAGTATTATACATGGTTATACAACTCCTGAGCATTATGTCTGCTCTCAGTCCCAAGCAATTTCTTATTCAGCTATAGTCAGACACCCTCTTTTGCCCCACTTGTGAAAATCGTAACATATATTCTATATGACCATGCCTATGGAACATTTGCAGGTGTGTCTTTTGTAATCTTGGAGCAAGCTATTGCACTATGATTTTTTTTCCTTCTAAAATACTGTCTTTAGTAACAATTCATAAAAATTTCTGTGTAGGAAATCCTTATGCAAGTCTAAGGGAGTTCTTTGCCTAACAGAGAATATATAGCACATGATTTATATCAGAAATAAATTACAGAACATTGATCATTAATATCTGTTCTCCATAACTAAGCTAGCAATAGAGGTTTTTACATACTTGCCAGAATAAACACTGCTACTTTTTTATTTTCAATTTTTATTGTAATAATTACTTTTATAAGAAACAAATTCTACGGGAAAAATAATGGCTTTTTCTAAAAATTATCACTTAAATTATTTTAAAAAGAGAATTTCAACAGAATATTTTTTTCAATTACATTTCTGTGAGGAAATAAAAGAGCACTTCTGTTCATATAGATTCTTCTTCAATATCCATCAATGACTTATATGCTATGAGTCCTTTTGTGAATGAAACAAAAATACCAGCATCAGTACTGAAAAATGTACATAGCTTCACTTCTGCATTTGTAATGAAGGGTACGTGATTTGGAAAGCTGCAGTCTGAGCAAGCTGTGCATGGCAGGTCAGGGAAACATATATATTAAAAAAAAGCAGAGGGGAAAAGGAGCTCCTTATGCTAATATTGAACTCAGTAGGAGAACCAGCAAAAGGCTTCAACAGGAATGGCAGCTATTCCCTACCAGTACAATGAAACATCAAGGATAAAATCCCAGTCCTACAGAGGTCAATGGAAATTATACTTCACAAAGTTTCTCTTACTAACCTGTTGACTGCATAATCTGTGTTTCTGCAAGAATAATTCCATTCTTGTCAATGGCTTCTGCTTGTATAGCATAAATAGTATTGGGAATTAATGAAGTTAGAGTTCCTTTAAGTGTAACATCACTAAAACGAGCCAGTAATGAATGGCCTACAGTATTCACAGCCGTAGCTGTGACTCTGTAAGAAGAGGCTCCTGAAAACTTGGGCCATCTGAGATAAATGCTTTGTGATGTCACATTGTATATAGACACAGAGAAACCTAAAAAAAAAAAAAAAAAATCATTATCAAAAAAACATTTCAGTCATTCTTGAATTTAGTCAGGTCTTGACAAGAAGATTGTTCAGTGTTTTATCAAGCATCTATGTGACCTAATTTTCAGATGACTGGCATTCAACAGAATTTGGAGGTCACTTTTGTAATCCATTAATTACTGTAATAACTGCTGCTTGCTCTCATAATACCATGTTGTGATGACGGCTATTGTTCTTAAAATTCCCATATGCTGTAGTCTAATTATTTAAAAAAATACTGGGTATAATCCGTATGTGAATATACAGCTAGTGTCAACAGTATTCCACACATGAATAGGATCAAATGCTTGTTTTGCAAATCATGAAAAGAATATGCTACCGTAAGTATCCATGCAACAACATGTCTGCAACGATTGAGTATTTAAGACTCTTGACAGTGCAGTATATAAAGGAACATGTACTATCACCACAGAATGAATGAATTCTGAAAGCATTTCTTGTAATCTTGCATTCCTCATATTTTAAACTAGTCAGTATTCACATTTAAGGCAGTAAGAGCTGTAGGCACAAAAAACAAGATTAAAGAAAGTATAAAATGTTGTGAAACATTGGAAATATTTGCACTTAGGAGATCATGCTTCTTCTGGTGTGGTTTTTAACTTGGGGGTGGGTGGGTTGTTTGTTTATTTGTTTGTTTTTAAATTAAAAGATACAACAACTAACTGAGTGCAAATATGCTACAGTTTGAATCCTATTTGTAGCACAGTTATGTAGGTAATGAACAGCACAATTTGTCCAGCTGAGTGTTCTCTCTGGTCCATGTTAGTGTCAAGGCATAAGTGGTCCGTCAGAATCTTTGTGCGAGTGTCTGACAGAATTGGGACTCCTAAAAATGAGGTTTAAAATTTATAAAGATATCAACATAGATTTTTTTAAAGCTGAATCAAACTTGAAAACAATTTTTGTTTATAAAGCTACTAGAACATACAGAATGTTTTATCAGAAATCACACATGTGTGCGTTCTCTTCAGACCCACTCAAAAATAATCAGGCGAAACCAAAATACCATTTTGAAGATTTACCTGCATTCGCTGAAAAGATCTGAAAAGGAAGATGTAAAAAAATTAGAAATACAAAGTGAAATATTTTATTTGGAAACTTAAAAAACTAATGATGTTACTAACAACTACTTAAAATACTACATTTTTTAACACATTTTACTGATACAATGTATTTGGTCAGATTCTTTAAGCATGGAAAGTTGGTGCAACCAAGGAGATCTAGTACAGGTATGCAGATTTTCCTTTCTGAATCTGCCTACTGATCCAGTTTTCTGTTGTTGACAGACTTCAAAAGACCTTGGGTCCTAATATATTATTTTATTTTTCAGTCACTTGTGAACTGCAAAAGTGTAATAGTAACAATGTATGAATGTAGAAGTGGGTGTCAGACAGTCTTCACCCTAACTTTTAGTTTACTTTTACAGAGAGTAAAATACCATACTTGAAAATAGTTTTAAAGCAAATGAGTTGCACTCACCATTTCTAGGCAGTTGAAAAGCAGTCCAATAAATATTAATGATTTACTTTTTGCACTGCGCATCTTGTCAGAACTTTGTTCCAGCCTTCACATGGGGATGACCTCAGGCTGATCCCTGCTGTGATCAAGAATATTTTGCAGCAGTGCTGTCACTGTAGGTTTACTCCCTGGGACGAGAGGAGGTTGCGTTAGGTTAGGCCCTCCTCCCTGCTGGACTACAGCCTGCCAGCGGTTACCAAAACCGTGGTGAAATGAGTCCGACGTAGCATCAAACTTTTAGGCAGGCGGGTGGTGGTTCTTCTTCCCTTCTGTTACAGGATGCAGTTTCTGTATTGCTTATACAAGATTCAAAAATAATTAAGCCCAATGTAAATCCGAAATTTGCTGTTCAGCTTATTATCTATCCGCATTTTTGTCACTTACAAGGACCTTTTTTCCCGTCAGGAGTGATGCCCTCGTTGTAGTCCCCTTTGAACGGAACACCACCATACTGACTGGGAACCACTCTTCCTCATGCTTCGCGTTGTGGAAAGAGAAATTTTCCTCCAATTTCTTCATATTTGTACCAACTGCCAGTTCCGTTTTGACAACGTGTCTCTATGTTTTCCATAACTGTGTGTAACTATGTAACTTCTGACAGGTGATTTTAGGCGTCAAGAAACGGTATCCTTCTATGAACGGAGAGCGTTTTCTTCGGTGCCTTACACGAACGTTAACAGGGAACCCGGGGACAGCTTTTATGAGGGACCCACGGTAGCGAGGAGAGTTTTACACCCCGAGGGGACCCGGGACCACGGCAGGTTTCGCAGAGGCCGCCCCGGCCAGGCGGTCTCCCGCCCCCCCCCGGCTGCTCCCCGCACCGCACAAGGAGCCTGCCTCGGGGCTCGAGAGGCCGCTCCCGGCGTCCCGGGCTCACCTTCTGAGGAGCGACGGGACGCTCCTTCCTCAGGGGGCGAGCCCTGGTCACGGGGCCCTTCCCCAGCGGGAATTCCGTACCCCATTATCACACAGAAAGGGGGCCCTGCGGCTGGCACGGCTCCGGAGGGGCTGGCACGGCTCCGGCGGGATCCCGGCCCGCCCCAGGAGCAGCCAGCGCACTCCGCCGCCG